GTGTCTGTGTGTGTCTGTGTGTGTCTGTGTCTGTGTGTGTCTGTGTGTGTGTGTGTCTGTGTCTGTGTCTGTGTGTGTGTGTGTCTGTGTGTGTGTGTGTGTGTCTGTGTGTGTGTGTGTGTCTGTGTGTGTCTGTGTGTGTCTGTCTGTGTCTGTGTGTGTGTGTGTCTGTGTGTCTCTGTGTCTCTGTGTGTCTGTGTGTCTGTGTCTGTGTGTCTGTGAGGGATAAAGGTAAAGTTTGCAGTTCGGTGCTTCTACAGCGTCTAAAGTGGGAACCACTGCGCCACAATAGAAACATGGTGAGTAGAGGGTTAGCAACAGCTAGCAGCTCCTGTGAATGATGCGTCTCCATCAGGACACATTTGAAAATGATCAGAGGATTCACATCAGTGATCAGTTCATAAACCAATAATCTATAATCCATATACAGGAATCTGTCATATGTTGGAGGTTCAGAAACATTATCAAAAAGGTATTAAAGGACCTGCTATTATATTATTATATAATATTATAATATAATATAATATAATAATATAATAATATAATAATATAATATAATATAATATAATAATATAAACGGTATAAAAGTCTCATCGACCTGAGCAGGAAATAATCTCAAGTGTGTGTGTGTGTGTGTGTGTGTAGAGTGAGTGTGTGTGTGTCTCTGTGTGTGTGTGTGTGTCTGTGTGTGTGTGTGTGTGTGTGTGTGTGTGTCTTGTGTCTCTGTGTGTGTGTGTGTGTGTGTCTCTGTGTGTGTGTGTGTGTGTGTGTGTGTGTGTGTGTGTGTGTGTGTGTGTCTGTGTGTGTGTGTGTGTGTCTGTGTGTGTGTCTGTGTGTGTGTCTGTGTGTGTGTCTGTGTGTGTGTGTGTGTGTGTGTGTGTGTGTTTCCTGGTTCAGTCTCATGTTACAAACTGCGTCACTCTGAAACTCAACGCCTGAGCTGCTGCTAACGTTGCTGCTAACGTTGCTAATATAGCTTTAGAGTTTACACACTGTTTCAATGATTATAGATTATTGATTTAAAGGATGTGAAATAACTGCAGTTTGTTCCTTTAACTGCTGACTGACCCCCCCCCCCCCCCCTACAGGAAACGCTGAGCCATCAGCTGGCAGAGAGACACCAGGGTTCACTCTCTCTCTGTCACTCTCTTTCTGTCTGTCTCTCTCTGTGTCTGTCTCACTCTCTCTCTCACTCTCTTTCTGTCTGTCTCTCTCTGTGTCTGTCTGTCTCTCTCTGTGTTTGTTTGAACTTCACTCTTTCCCGTGTTATCTGCTGCAGCTCTGTGAGGCCTCTGACCTCTGACCTCTGAACTATCCACATGAGTTCCAGACTTTTTGTTCAGAGAAAAATAACAAAAAGTCTGAATGTGGTTTCCTGCAGCTACTAGACATTATTATTATTATTATTATTATTATTATTATTATTATAATAATAATAATAATAATAATAATAATAATGGCCACTTAGCAACTTCTTAAGTAGATAAAGGTGGATTATTTTCCACACACAGTTTCCTGTTGGACAGTAATTTGTACACACACACACACACACACACACACACAGACACACACACACACACACACTCACACACAGTATTCATGTGTTCATTGTTTTCATTCTGGATTTTGGCCAAAGTTCTGCTTTTACAGGCAGAGAGTGTTTTTGTTCTGAATATTTCTGTCTGCAGTGTTTTTCCTGTTTGTTGGCTCCGCCCCCTCTGACTGACTGAACTCACCTTTATATCGAACCAGATTTTTCAGTCTGAATCTCTCAGTGATGTTAACTAGCAGGTCTCCAATATGATGATATATTTCTACCTGTGTGTTCTCTGGAGCCACACGGTGTCACACGGGCGGCGCTCTCAGCTGTATCCTGTGTCTCCAGATGTTTCTTTACCCAAACAGAAACATAAAAACCACAGTTTGGTTTGTTTTTCAAGAGTTTTTGTTTGTGTGTTTTCAGGACAACGAGCTGGAGAAAATCACCAGGAGATTCACCATCGAGCTCGCCAAGAAAGGCTTCATCGGTGAGTGAGCGGTATTCCTATAAACCCTCTCTCAGCGTTGGTGCCACCAGAGATTGCATCTTGTTCTTTATAAATGGATGAATCAGACTAACAACAGTTACAGGTTATATCTACCTGTCAGTCTTTCCAACAATCTCTGGTACAGTCAGTGTGTTGCTGTGGTTCTGCAGGGCCTGGTATCGACGTTCCTGCTCCGGACATGAGCACCGGGGAGCGGGAGATGTCCTGGATCGCCGACACCTTTGCCACCACCATGGGACACTATGTGAGTCTGATAGTGAGAGAGGAAGTCAGAGGTGATATAGGGTGAAGTGGAAACCGACAAGTGTGCGTCCACGCAGCACGCAACCACCTGTTAACGCTGCACGTCTTCACCGCGAGCTGCTTATAAACACAGACAGCTAGTGTAGTAGCTTAGAGTAGCTTCACAGGGGGCGACGCCTTCTTGGTTTTAAAGTGTTTAAGAAGAAAAATCTCAAATGTTACAAATACAAAATACAGACAGAGAATGTATAAAATATATCAGGAGAACTCATCTGTGATCAATATTTACAGGAAATACTGAAACCTCCTGCAGTTATTGAGTTCAGTGTTTGGTTTATCAATCTGTTATTGATATTGATCAATAGAATATGTAGATACAGAGAATACATCAGCCTGCTTTGTAGAATAGCTGATAATATAATAATAAGAACTTTATGTATATCACACATTTGAGTTGTGCTTTACAGTCAGTATGATGCTTGCTGGGTCGCCATGGCGTTCGTTTCAGACGCTGCTGTTTTTTGTTTGTGGCTTCAAAATAAAAGCCTGAGCTGAAAGCCGTTGCCGTGGTAACACAGGAAGTGCTTTTGTTTTCCTGTCTGCCCGGTTCATTTTCACTTCCTGCGTTTGGTGCCAGCAGCCGGTAAATGACGCAGCGGGTCGGAGATCAACAACCAGGAAGAGGTCGACCTTTAACCAATCAGAGTTTTACTGACAATAATAACAATAATAAGAATTTATCAGCAATAAAACAACCGTTATTATCCAATTATTAAACTAATTAATCACTTATTGTTCAGGCTGTTGAATTAGATTGTGCAGGTTTCTATTTCCTGTTATAGAAATATTAAAATGTATTTTATTTATAATTAAACTATTAATAGTTCATACAGCTGAAAGCATTGATCGATTAATAATTTATTATTGCTTCTCAAATGTGAAGATTTGCTGTTTTTCCTTTAAATTATTGTAATAATTTGTAATAATTAATGAATTAATTTTGAGGTTCGGACTGTTGGTTGTGAAGGTGCCACGTTGGATTCTGGGTAATTGTGTCACTATTTTCAGAATCTGTACAAAGCAATCAATCGGTGGATTAATGGAGAAAATAATCAGTTAATGGATCCATAATGAAAATAATCATTACATAGCTCAATGTGCTTTTAAAATGTTTCCTGAATGGAGATGGTTGATCGGAGCTATGCTAACTTAGCTCTAACCGACGGCTACAATCAGTTACATATTTATATATTTATATATATATATATATATATATACACATATATATTCTGTGTCTCTGTGCAAATATAAAGCACCTCTAGGTCACATTTGGGCTTTTGATCTATTTTGGTTCTGTGTTTTGCTTCTGACGTAACGCTGAGGCTCATGGGAAATGTAGTATTTGTAGTTGTAGAGTTACTGAACTAGTAACAGCTGTTGTTGTTGTTGGTTGTCGGCAGACTGACCCCCACATCCTACTAATTCAGGGACCAGTGACTAAGGTAAAACACCTTCTCTTATAAATCTGCTGGGATCTGCAGGATGGGAGTCCCTGGGTTTGTCTGTGGGAAACCCCGCTTCATGAGGCTTTTCTTGGTCCCTGCTGCAGGGTTGCCTCTGGTAGAGGTCTGTTTACCCCGTGATGCCACTTCTACACACATACAGCGCCGGGCAAAGCTTCATACACCTTTATCCACAATTCTTTGATTTGTTTTAAACACTCAGAGCAGCTTCCAAAGTTTACACACAGATTCCCTGAAGAGCCGCTGATGAGCAGAGGCTTCTCTTAATTAGAGTTTTATTCTTATTTTGAGACATTTTATGTCGAGAAAATGTCCAAAAATGAGCTCACATGACATTTTTTCCAACATAAACACTATAAACTATATTTCTGATCATTACCAGCTCTTTAGTTATTGATCACAATAAAGATAAAAAAGATAAATTAGTGCATAAAAACCAACAAAGTCATGATGAATTAAAGTATATTTTACCCCGTATTACCGGCTGGTGGCTGTGTGGTTGGACCGGTATGTGTGAACTACTGGCTCCTCATTGTGGACGTATTGATCATTGAAAAGGTCCTGATTGAGCTGCACCCCTGCTGCTGGTACCTGGGACACAGGAAGGAGGGTTCTGTCTGTCTTCCGTCCCGGTTCAGGCTCCGCCCTCTCAAACTGACGGTGCATTCAGGTGCTCATCGTCGGCTCGTAAAGTTCGGCAGGAAGTCGAGTACTGGCGCTTGGCGTGATGTTTGAGCCACCTGGTCACGTGGTTATTTTCAGTTAGCTGAGAGCGATGTGAGTCAGCAGTGTCCTTTTTTTATTTCTAGCTCGCTAACATAAACAGGGTTCCCATGAGCCCTGGAAAACTACTGATGGTGGAAATAAAGGTTTTACTTCATTAAAACAGCTGTTTTTTGAATGGAGTTTGGTGTGACAGTGTGGAGCAGAGGGGATTTGAACCTCAATAGTTCCCATAAACTGAGCTGACCGACCTTCTAATAATGAACCTTAGAAACAGCAGAAAGTAACAGGAAGTGGAGATAAACCCTGTTTTCTTCTTCTGTGGTAGTAAAAGGTGGATTAAATAAACACAGATTAGTTAACATTAACGTCACATCGGGCACAAACAGTCAATAAGGTCGCTGTATCTGTGAGGACTCATCAATAACTATTTCTGTATCTTATCGATATAACGACGCTGATCGTTGATTGTTTGTCCTGCTGGCTTTAGGATTTAAGCTCCTAATCGCTTAAATCAAAATAATATTCTCATTTTATGGTATTAAACTGGCAACGGTCTCAGGACTCATGTTAAGTTCCAGTGCGGTAGCTAACTTAAGATGTGACTGTATACGTCTCTTTAGCCTAGCACGTAGCATGTCTAAGTACAGGACCAACTAACTAACGACCAACAGTCCAAAACCCAAAGAGATTCAGTTCAGTGTCATAAAAGACGAAGAAGTGAATCTCATTGCAGTTAAACTTCAGTGGACTGTTTCCTCTCTTGTGTTCTGACTGTGGAGCCTGAAACGGGACACAACTGCCGGCTGGTCTCAATGTTTCTAACGGGCTTTAAATATGTTAGACATTGTAGAAACAAGCGATGTATGATGATGTTTTTCTTCACCTGTCTGTCTCTGTCTCAGGACATCAACGCTCACGCCTGCGTCACCGGGAAGCCCATCAGCCAGGGAGGAATCCACGGCAGGATCTCCGCCACCGGCCGGGGGGTCTTCCACGGCATCGAGAACTTCATCAACGAGGCGGCCTACATGAGCCAGCTGGGGATGTGTCCCGGCTTCCAGGACAAGACCTTCGTCATCCAGGTACGCTCCGTCCTCTTCGTCATCTCCCGGAGACACATTTAAAGTTCTTCTAGAGCTGGAAACACCTCATCGTCCACATGAAACGTTAAAATACCTGCAGCCCGACAGAGTAAATCTGTGTGTGTCAAAGACTGAATAACCTTCCTGTGGAATAAAATAAATGCGTCAGCTGATCGGCCTTTATAGAGCGAATATCGGAAGATAAATAGTTTAAAATAATGCTTTAATTTACATTTCCCACAGTTCAGCACAGTTAGCATCGACTGAGCAGTTGAGTTCTTTCAGTAAACAGGTTACTCTGTCACATATTCGTCCAGAGGTCAGTGAAGATCTGACTCGGATTGAAGGACGTCTGTAAACAGCCTCTTCCTCCCTCCCTCCGTTCTTCCTCCATCACTCTTTCCATCCCTGAAATCCTCAGCGGTGACTCACCAGTGACTCAACTGGAGCCGCAGGTTTTCCTCCAGTTTCAGTGGTTCAGTTACAGTCGGTGCGACCCACAGCGCAGACAGCTCAGGACTGAAATGGTTTCCCAGAGGACAGCCTGACGGGGTTCAGATCAGACTAACAAAGTGCTCTTGAGCAGGACGCTTTAAGCTGTAAATCCCTCTGATGAGCAGACAAACATAAAGATGTAAGTGGGAGTGTTTGCGTGTCCGGGCACATTTCAGATGCTGTCAGTAGATATTAAATATGGAATAAAACAACAACTAAAGCCGGAGTCACACAACACAACAACAAACTGTCTTTAATCTGGACTCTTGAAGTGGTTTTTGATCAGCAACAGGAGGTTTGAACACTGCAGGATCTCTCCCAACCGGTCGGACTGCGTCATTAATAACAAACACGTCATGTTTTATTATGAATGTAGGTCAAAGGGCAACAATTCACAGCCGTTACAAACTGGGTACAAACAAACAAACACACGCAGTTATGGACAGAGAAAAGCCTTAAATTGAAGCTGTTTCTGAACAACGAACAATGAGACAGTTCTTCCATCTGTAATGAGTTTGTGCTGAAGGAATTTAAGGTCTGTCCCCAATAAAGGCAGCGTGAGCTCAAATAAACTCAAGTGTACGGTAACCTGATCAGCCCTAAACCAAAGGAAGTATTGATTGATCAATAAAGTCATCCATACTGAGTATGAACCACATTTCATCAACAGTCCAACAGTTGTTGAGATATTTCAGTATAATAAATGGACTTAGGGTGGCGCTAGAGGGCCGGTCAGAGGATCAGTGGGCTTCACTGTGCCCTGTGTTTTGTCTGCAGGGTTTCGGTAACGTGGGTCTCCACTCAATGCGTTACCTTCATCGTTTTGGGGCGAAGTGCGTCGGAGTCGGAGAAATGGACGGAAGCATCTGGAACCCCAACGGCATCGACCCCAAAGAGCTGGAGGACTACAAACTGGTCAGTACTGTGATAGATCAATAACCAGGACTACAGACTGATCAGTGCTGTGATAGATCAATAACCACAACCATTTGCCCCCTGCTGGAAGACCAGTGTTACTGCAGTCAGTTAAAGTTGAATTGCTTCTCGGTAATCAATAAACGCTGAAACTCTTAATGTGTAAATATATTGATCATCAGAATAATCAATACGAAGGTTCTTACTGTGATTAACACTTCATATCAAACTCTACTTCTACTAAACAAATTATTATGTTTTAATAGTTTCACTTTGGGACGAATATTATTATCAATCAATCAAACTAACTAATCAATATTTTCCGTCTCCAGGCCAACGGGACCATCGTGGGCTTCCCGAACTCGACGCCGTACGAGGGAAGCATCCTGGAGGCCGACTGCGACATCCTGATCCCCGCCGCCAGCGAGAAACAGCTGACGAAGAGCAACGCACACAAGATCAAAGCCAAGGTCACACACACACACACACACACACACACACACACACACACATATTTCCCATCATGCCTCAGTGCACTGACCTGGTGTCTGTGTTACAGATCATTGCCGAGGGAGCCAACGGTCCGACCACGCCCGAAGCCGACCGTATCTTCCTGGAGAGGAACATCATGGTGATCCCGGTCAGTGCTGTTAAAACGCTGTAATCCCAAAGGAGGTTCTGCATTGTCGTGTCTTTGTCCTCAGACGCAGACGTTACGGCGAGATTACGGCGAGATTATGGCGAGATTACGGCTCTGTTTCCTGTCGTTGTTTCAGGACATGTACCTGAACGCCGGCGGTGTGACCGTTTCCTACTTTGAGTGGTTGAAGAATCTGAATCACGTCAGTTACGGTCGACTCACCTTCAAATACGAGAGAGACTCCAACTATCATCTGCTCAGTACGTCACACTGCCACCAGACTCCATTCAGATTATCATCGATTTTAGAGACTGTTTGTACACAGTGATTTTATCCTCCATCTTCATCCTCCTCTCCCTCCACCTTCACCCTCCTCTCCCTCCACCTTCACCCTCCTCTCCCTCCACCTTCACCCTCCTCTCCCTTCACCCTCCTCTCCCTCCACCTTCATCCTCCTCTCCCTCCACCTTCACCCTCCTCTCCCTCCACCTTCATCTTCCTCTCCATCCACCTTCACCCTCCTCTCCCTCCACCTTCACCCTCCTCTCCCTCCACCTTCACCCTCCTCTCCCTCCACCTTCACCCTCCTCTCCCTCCACCTTCACCCTCCTCTCCCTCCACCTTCATCCTCCTCTCCCTCCCTCCAGTGTCAGTCCAGGAGAGTTTAGAGAGGAAGTTTGGGAAACATGGAGGCGCAATCCCCATCGTCCCCACCTCAGAGTTCCAGGCCAGAGTCGCTGTGAGTGTGTACACACACACACACACACACACACACACACACACACACACACACACACACAAGGTCTTCTTCGTTGGTGTTATAATAATGTGTTTTGGTTGTAGGGAGCGTCTGAGAAGGACATTGTTCACTCTGGTCTGGCCTACACCATGGAGCGCTCTGCCAGGGTAACACACACGCACACACACACACACACACACACACACACACACACACACACACACACACACACACACACACACACACACACACACTGTGTTTCAGTACCTGTTTACAGCAGCAGGTGGCAGTGTCGTCCCAACTATGTTCACACTAAAATGCTTGTTTTCTGAATGGAGTTTGGTTGATCAGGGCTATGCTAACTGCTAAGCTACAGCTATATTTTCCACCTTCCTCACCTTCCATAAGATATAAAGCCGATAGATAAATAAGAACAGATTATAGATTATAATAATAATTATTGATTATAAAACAATTAAAATAAATCCTGTCTTCCTCTCGTGCAGCAAATCATGCGAACAGCCAACAAGTACAACCTGGGTCTGGACCTGCGGACGGCGGCGTACGTCAACGCCATCGAGAAGGTCTTCCAGGTTTACAACGAGGCCGGCCTCATCTTCACATAGAGCTGTCTGTCTGTTACCTGTCTGTCTGTTACCTGTCTACCTGTCAGCGTTTACAGTCTATTGCACAGCAGCAGAACGACTGAAGAGTCTCATTCCTTCGTCTGTTTACGTTCTTCTTCCTCTCACGGGAAAAAACCAAAATAAACCACAGAAACTTCTGAGCTTTAACGCAGCTGCTGTGCTGCCTCACACACACACACACACACACACACACACACACACACACACACTAATAAGCCTTAATGCTGCAGAGAAACGTGTCACCATTCGCCTTCAACGCACCATGTGGTCAGAAGTATGTGGACGCCCTCGCGCACAGACTTCACTGTCCCTTTGTTTTATTAGTGGATCAATCGATTAGCTTCTCAAATATTTCCAGACTTTCTTCATATTTAACGATCGTAAACTGAATCTCCGTCATTTTCACTTATAATTCCAGTGGATTTAAAATAATAATCTGAGAAGCTGCTAACTTTTAAAAACAGTTGACCCTCTCTAAGCCCCGCCCCCTGTTGCTCTGTGCTCCAATCACAGTTGAGCTAGCCTCGGTGAACTTCCTCCTTTCCTGTACTTATATGCTACATGCTAGGCTAATCTATGTTGGAAAGGCAACCACATTATGAAGATGGTTAAAAGATAAGAACTATAAATATAAATATAGTCGCATCTTAATGTTTGCAAAACATTAGCTAACTAGTTAATGTACATGAATCATTAGCTAGTCAGTTAAAGTCTGATTAGCTTAGCATGTAGCATATCCAAGTACAGGAAATGAGGAAGTTGACAGAGGCTAGCTCAACTGTGATTGGAGCACAGAGCAAAAGGGGGCGGGGCTTATGGAGGGTCAGTTAGTTGATAATAAGTGCCTTTTAGTTTTGTGTTAGCGTGTACTTGGGCGTCCACATAGCGTCCGCTGTCTGTACAGATGTTTTTATATGCAGTGCACACGTGCCTCAGGACTTTAATACTTACTGCTTTTGGAGCTTAGTGTAACTTTATTAAAGGACCTTTCTGCTGTTTTTGTGTCCAGATCCTCCATCAGAGGCAAAAGTGACGGAAATTAAACAAAAAACGACGAAAAATAACAAATCTCAGAAAGCGAGGCAGCAGCAAAACGTAGCCTATTTTTAAAAGAAAAGCTATATTTTGAATATGTTCACCGCTTTACCTCGCCGTCAGACTGCTATGTCTGAAGCTGTTATAAAAGCCACCAGACTCCTTTAACAAAAACAGCAATTTAACCTCGCCGAACACATCTGGGTTTCTGGTCTTCAGTCGCCTCGATCCACAACAACTGACGTCAGTTCGGATCCGAATTAACGTTTTAAATCACCAAAGTCACAATAACACAAACCAACTAACTGCTGCAGGCGGCCGTAGAACCAGAAACTCGTGTGTTCTGTGTGCTTAAATCGCTGTTTTTATCAGTGGAGTCTGGTGACTGTAAGACGATCTCTCTCTCTTCCTGTCCTTCACGCGTCATCAGAATCATGTTTTATCCGACACGTGACAAAAACATCCGGAATGATCCTTTAACTGTTAGCTTTTTCTGCTAGCGACAGTTTTTCCCTCTCAGGTGTCGACGCGGTCGCCGCTGAAGCTAACGCTAATCACTGCATATTATTGCAGCTCTGCTAACTATGCAATCACAGTGCTGAGTTTACACACCGCTCACTGAACGTCCCCCGGGGGCCACAAACCGGTCAACAGACGCACAAATCAAAGCTTTAATCTTTAGCTTTAGCTCACAGTGACGTCAGGAAGTTGGGGGATACGAGCTGTATGTGGGGGGGGGGCTCAAACTGCTTTCTGTTCAGTTTTTACGTCTTTTTGTTAAAACCAAATGTTACAGCGAAATAAAGTATAAAAAAGTTACATCGAGTGTGTTTTTATTATTTTATTTTTATGGTTCCTTTTTATTTTAACTTTATTCAACAGCTGCTGACAGGAAGTTAAATCTATAATCTCATTAAACAGAAATCTTTTATTCATCGGTCGCCTGTCGATGGCGTCATATCCCCTTTGTGCCTGCGTCAGCGTTGTGGTTGTCTGCCAGAAGCTGTCATACATTGACTGTTGATCCAGTCTGAAGCCACATTGTTACCATCCACTGTTTAGATCTTGGTGCTTTTTAACTCTAGATTTGAACCGGATGAAGGATTTTAGTCATCGGACGTCTGGATCTTAAGTTATCAGAGAAACAAGCTGAGCTAACGTTAGCAGCAGCTCGGCTCGCAGCCCCTCCGGGACGTCCTTTGTCTGTCCAACAGCGTGGGAGAAGCAGTGATTGTTAAGGTGGATTTTTTTTTTTTTTAAGGTGGAACTGCTTTATTCAGTGTGTTTAAGGTGGAACTGCTTTATTCAGTGTGTTTAGTGGTTTTAATCAGCGGGTCTGTTTGTGTTGGAGAGGAGGAGACCTCTGTGGATCATTGGGCTCCCGGTAGAAACCTCCTGAACCATGAACACTGAAGGAATCCTAACCGGGAGAAGCTGACTGCAATGACGCCAATGGTGGTGAAGACAACAACTCCCATGATCCCACGCTGCTTCACCATCAAACTTCCTCTGGTGTCATTGATGTGAGAGACCCCCTAGTGGAGAAATTATAAGGTTTTCTGTTTAATTCATGAAGCCGATCAGGTCAAATATTGGACTTAAAGGTCCAGTTCAACATGGCGGACTCCGTCAGAAGAGGACCTCACATGATTCTTATTATCAGCTAATTAAACACTAATGAATATTCTGTTACAGTAATGTTACACACTGAGCTTTAAGTTTGAACATCTGAATGTATTCTCAGTCCCTTCAGGATGTCTTGGCAGCTTTTCTAAACCACATTTATGTTTTTAGGCATTTTTTTTTTTTAAATCAAAGAAAGTAAAAACAAAAGTTTCTTTTTTTGTTTAGTTCATTAAAATCAGCCTCGTTCCAGTGAGAATAAAACGTTTGGACAGTAAAGTGATGCCAGCTGCGATCAGAGTAGAAACAATGCTGTGAACTTTGATTCAAATTAACATGACGACATTCATTTAAATAAATACTGTTTTTGAACAGAAATACAGATTTTAGTATAAAGATTTATTTATATAGAGATTTTGAAATGTCAAACACGTTTTTTTTAAAATAATTGATCATTAATCTCTCAAACACATTCAAATCAATAACTGCTAAAGAGCAGAGTCTGTGAGCCTTGTAATAAGTTAAAATTATGACTTTATCAAAACAAAAATGCATTCTATAAGCTTACTTATATCAAACTCATTATAACTAAGAATATTGTATTTTAGGTTTATAGCTGATCATTTGGAATATTTTCAGAGCCAGAGTCATAATTTTCACAAAAATAAGTTTAAATGTTGAGAAATATTCCCTCTGCCTCCTGTCTCTGTGCTGATATTAAATTATATCTTTTTTCTGTGTTTTTTTTGGCATACTGAGCTTCCACACAGATCCTGATAAAACATTTTAATACCTTCAGGCTCACATCTTTTAGTGATTTTGTGAGTATTTTTATTATAATTAATAACAGTTTAACAATATTAATTCATAGTTTTCTTCGTTTAAGATTCAATCTGATAATCTTCTAACTTAAAATATGATTTAATAATAAATGATAATAATATTTGTTGTTTTTCTGTATTTTGTCCCACTGTCGGTGCGGTGGGCGGGGCTCCGCGCCTCCTTCCGTCCAATCAGCGCGCAGTATTTGCCACGTGGCGCCGGAATTCCCCTCCAGCTCCGGGGCTTTCCACCCTGACTGACAGGCTGCTGGTTACCACGACAACGAGGCCGGATAGGAGCGATGACCTTCAGAGTAAAAGCTTTGATTTATGGCAACGAATTAAAATGAAACACTTTGGGATTTTTAACAGCTTTAGATCCAGAAAATAAAACTTTAATTTTAATCTTTTAATTTTTGCACAAATTATTTTCAAGGAGAAAAGCTGCAAATATACTTTTCTATTTAATTTTTTATTTTTTCTTGCGTTTTATTTTTTTTCAATATTGGTTTTAGATGCTGTGTTTATTAATTATGTTATATAATTAAAACGTTAGATAGACAATAATTCGGAAGAATAAAGTACATAAATAATAAAAGTAATGAAACTGAACAAAAATGTAAAAATATGAAAATTGAAAGAATAATAATAATAATAATAATAATAATAATAATAATAATACTATTTATCTGCATTAAGTTACAAATAAATACCTAAAACGTTTTTGTCACAGTAATAATTAATAGTTAGACACTTTTTTAAATTTAATGCACATTCATATTTATGAATTCATCAATAATTAATGAATTAACAATTATTTGACAGAAGCACAATAACAGACAGAACTTGCAATAAAAAACTACAAGATCCATAAAGCAATGGAAAGAAATAAATGTGATTTTATTTTGAAAAACACAAGCAGGAAGCTGGCGCAGGTATAGCTGTTGTGACGTGAACTCCAGTTGGGAGTTTTGTGTTTTTCGGGGAACAGACAGACACACGGACAGACAGCAGGTAAACTTTAAACTCTTTATCTGAACACAAACTGCTGCTGATCGATAATCAATAACCCGATCAGCTGCAGACACAGAGATCAATCCGTCCACCTAAAGGAGCTTCAGTCGATTCAAGTTTAAGATGTTTGTCCTTTAAATTTACTGCAGAATCAAACTAATGCATCAAACCCACTGATTGATTGTGCAAGATCAATATCAGATCAATATTATAATTGATATTAACAGCTGATTATTGGGACAGTTTATGCCTCAGTTCTGTTTATTCTGAATACAAACAGCTGATCAATAAGTGGGATTATTGTTATTGTGTAACAGACTCAGTTATTGATCGATCACAGTGAGTTGATTTGTTGTTTCTTATCCGATTGGCTGATCAATTATTGAACTTTAACTGAAGTAAACACAATCTCTGCTAACCACTAAAAGCTGTTCAATAATCAATAATCTGTTGTTCACTGGTTGTTATCAATAACTCACTGATGAAGACCATGAGATGCAGTTAAAAGCTATTGGCTAACAGTTTCCACCTGCTTCCAGTCTTTGTGCTAAGCTAGGCTAACAGTTTCCACCTGCTTCCAGTCTTTGTGCTAAGCTAGGCTAACAGTTTCCACCTGCTTCCAGTCTTTGTGCTAAGCTAGGCTAACAGTTTCCACCTGCTTCCAGTCTTTGTGCTAAGCTAGGGCTAACAGTTTCCACCTGCTTCCAGTCTTTGAGCTAAGCTAGGCTAACAGTTTCCACCTGCTTCCAGTCTTTGTGCTAAGCTAGGGCTAACAGTTTCCACCTGCTTCCAGTCTTTGTGCTAAGCTAGGGCTAACAGTTTCCACCTGCTTCCAGTCTTTGTGCTAAGCTAGGGCTAGGACAGAGAACAAGAGGAAACATATTGAACTGTTACTTTATCAGAAGCAGCAGTTTGTTGTTTGTTCAGTCTGGTTTGGAATTGAGGATTGTCCCCAAACACTGAGGAGGAGGAGGAGGAGGAGGAGGAGGAGGGGAGGAGGAGGAGGAGGAGGAGCAGGAGGAGGAAGAAGAGCAGCAACAGGAGTGGAAATTCCCACTTCTCACTGTATTTAGATATGACTCCATCAGACACACACAGACTCTCAGTGGTGATTAACTCCTGATTTGACGTCTGCAGGAAAAAGAACAGAACAACCTCACCCTGCAGGCAGCTGAGCCTTCTTCATCTTCATCTTCATCTTCATCATCTTCATCATGGCCGGAGCTCTCAGGTGTGTTTTTATTTGTGTTGAAGGAGGAAACAAACGGAAAACATGCTGCTGTTGTTCTGGTGTGAGAGATCACAGACCGGCAGGGTTTCAACTACTGGTGTCTCTGCAGTGATGTACAGGTGTACCCCAGGACACTGTGACATCACTGCTGGTTGTTGTTGTTGTTGTTGTTGTTGTTGAGGGGGAAAAGGAAGCTGCTGTCTCTCCAACAATCACCAACACTGGATTACTACTAACTACCAGCAGTAGTTGTTTGTTCCACTGACAGACTCAGGTTGTTATTGTCAGTGACTGCTTTATGGAAAGGATCCCTACAGACAGAAACAGAATCCAGCTCGTCTCTGTTAGTGTTTCCAACAATCACCAACTCTGGTTTGGAGGAAATAAATCCTTAATTCACCGACGTAGCTGATAGAAACAGGACAGACCGGCTATGGAAACAAACCAGAGCTCAACCGTGCAGCGGTTCAGTAAAGCTGCAGTTAGACACGTTTCCATGGTTAAACGTGTGAACAAAGGATTTGCTCGCAGATGTTTTTTGGACGTTGAGATGAAGAAATATTTTATCAGTCAGGTTAGTAGAAAGTGAGTCTGACCCATTTCACAGAAACAGAGTAAAATCACCTCAGTGGATTCCTGCACAGGTCGGAGGTCACACAAACTTCCCCCTCGGGGTTTCTTACTACTGTGGGTTTATGTTAATGAAGGCTCTTTACTGATGCCTGATTGGCTGCTGTTGTCGGAGGGGGCCGTCCCTCCTCTTTGGGGGACAGGGTTGAAGTCGGGTGCACAAGACGCTTCAGATCAGATTTGAGTCAGACTGTGCAGCGAGGCGGGTTTTTTCTGATGTTGTGGAGCTGAGGAGAGAGACAGGAAGTCGAACTGACGAACCAAAAAACCACCAAAAAAGACAAAAAAGACAAAGAGGAAGTACAGAGAACATGAAACTGCAGGTTTGTGTTTGCTACTTTTCTTCACGACTTTTTCCTGTTTTATTGTTGTTTGGGTTTTACATTAAAGGTCCAGTGTGTAACAGTGAGGGGGATCTATATCGGTACTGGAATATAATATCCATACGTATGTTTGCATTATTGTTTAATCACCTGAAAGTAAGAATCGTTGTGTTTTTGTTACTTTAGAATGAGACGTTTTTATCTCCACAGTCCACCATGTTTTACAGTAGAACAGACAAACCAACTGGTTCTGGATAGGACCTTTAACAGCCACCGTAGTTTCTCCTGCACCCGTGGCTCCCAGTGGCTTCAACAAAAAGTCATAATGAGTTGTTTTTATTACATTCTCCAATTGTGTAGCCATTACGCACCAAATAAAGAAAACCTTACGTCCTGACCTGGCATATTTTTTCGAATTTGATCTTCAGCCAGAAATGATGAGAATTAAAAGGTTCAGATATGATTTGTAGCTCCAGACAGATTTATTGTTTGTCTCTTCCGATGCTTTTAACTGGAGGTTTAAGCTACACCGTTAGATGTCTCTAAATCCTGCACACTGGTCCTTTAAGAATATTTCTATTTCATTAATTTAAAATGTCCCTCATGTCCGTCTCAAATTCTCATTATGGTGCTCAGATTATCTTACAATACGCAGACGACACACAGATATACATTAGGATCGACTAACAGCATGCTAACATGCTCACAGTGATGATGCTAACATGCTGATGTTTAGGAGGTATAAGATTTACCATGTTCACCATCCTAGCTTAGCGTGTTAGCATGCTAACATTAGCTGATTAGCAGTAAACACAGAGCTGAGGCTAATGGGAATGTTGTTAGTTCTGCATAATGTCTGTAAGTAGACCTGCAGCAGTTCATCCATTAGTTGTTTCACAGAAAATTAAGCTGCAACTATATTTGATAATTGATTAATCATTTTCAGTTTAAAGACAGACCAGTGCTGTGAGCTAAATGCTAACATCTGCGTGCTAAAATGCTCCCCGTAACAAGGCGAACATACAGATACCATGCTAACATTTGCTAATTAGCAAGGATGTAATGATGCAGTAAACTCAACTTACAATACAAACAAATACAAACAACAACAACAACAAACACAAACAAACATCTGCTAGGATGAGGAACAAAAACCAACAACATCTGTGGTTTCATTCACAAAGCAGTAATTAAATAAACATAAACACAACACTTATTAACATTATTAACAGAATTCTAATTGTCTGAACAAAGTGCATAAAGTATTGGACATTGAAATATTGATCTGATGGTGGCGCTGCTCCCTAAAATAAACCTTATTAAGCTGTAAACATTAATGTGGTGAGGAGAAAAATCCCTTGTTGAGGAAATGATAATTCTCTGAAAATTTCATAAGAATTGAATCATCATTCTTTAAAAAGACAGATGCAAACATTTGTTTTGGTCCTGAGGGGAACCTGAGCCGCGTTTCATCACAACCCCCCCACCTGCTGTGGCGTGGGGGGGGGGTTAGACACCGTTCTGTTCTTTGTTTTCTGGTTCAGAGAAAAAGTTTTTTTTCTTCTGCGAGTGTTTTATCAGCAGCACGGTGACATCATCAGCGGTAGCCACGCCCCCCTCTCAGAGCTGATCTGGAATTCTGGGGGTTTTCCTCCGCTCGGCCACTTCCAGGAAGTGACTGAAAACAGCCCGAGAGGAGGGGAGGGGGGTAAAACGACACTGAGACACACAGAGAAAGAGAGGGAGAAAGAAAGGAGGGTTAAAGACAAACAGCAGAGAAAGCAGAGCGAGAGACAGACAGACAGACAGACAGACAGACAGACAGACAGACAGAGAGAGAGAGACGGGGAGGTTATTGAGTTTGAGCCTCTCTCGTCCGTCATGTGAAAGTGAAACTGCTGCAGATTTTATTGTCTTCAGTTTGTTTATTTGTTTCTTCGTCGTGTCGGCACTTTTACACTCGAACAGCGACAGACAAGAGGATTTAATGTGAGTCTGTGAGTGTGTGTGTGTACAGTGTGTGTGTGTGTGTACAGTGTGTGTGTGTACAGTGTGTGTGTCTGAGAGTGTGAGTGTGTGTGTGAGTGTGTGTGAGTGTGAGTGTGTGTGTGTGTGTGTGTGTGTGTGTGTGTGTGTGTGTGTGTGTGTGTGTGTGTGTGTGTGTGTGTGTGTGTGTGTGTGCGTCTTTAAATCAGCCTCTAACGTTTGTTTGTTTGTTTGTTTGTTTGTTTGTGCTGCAGGATGACTGAACCTCAGTTCATCAACTCCTACGACAACGATGTGAGTTCTTTTCTCTTCCAGTTGATGATTTAACGACTTTTTCAGCTCATTGATTAGTTGACCGAGTGTTTGCTGTACGGGTTCCAGTGAGGGTCAAACTGACTGATGCTTCATTCAGAGAGCTGCTGAGAGACGTAATGTCTGTGGTTGTGAAAGAAATGTGTGTATTCAGGGCTGTCTGTAGCTTTTTGGAGGCCTTATGCAAAATGCTGTTTAGCGGGCCCTATTTTATGAAACTAATTATTATTTTTAATGAAACAATCTTTAAAACATTTGTTTTTTCAATGGAGTTTGGAATGTGGGACATCTTGAATAAACAAACATCCTTTAAAAAGCTTTAAAATCTGAGGCCAAACTTATTGTGCAGGAATAAGACAAAAACATTTTATCAGTTAATGATCAAATTCAGCTGCCTAAAGTTACTAATTCCACCATTAAATACGCAGCGCTGTCGGGATGTTAAAGATTTCCACATTGGAAGTTTATTCTGAAATGATCTTTATCAGAAATCAGCCTTATTTTTCAGTTTTCTGTGTTTAGGATTGTTTGCATTGTTTTAAGCTACTATCTCAGCCAGGTGCAACATATCTAATTAAATAAAGGTTAAAAGATTAAATCAAATCCTTTGTAATTCAATAAGTCTGCATAACATTTACTTAACCTTTATTTAATCAGGTAAATGGAAAAATGATCCTAATACATAAAAGGCTAACATAAGCTAACGGAGGAAATAGAAGCTGTTATTTTCCATCCACAGACGAGAACAGTCATATAGAAAGATTTAAAAATAAAATACTAATTAAAGAGCAAAGTTAATATGTGACTAATATTGTGAATATGACTCTTATTTCATTTTCTCTTCCAGTTTTGATTCTTCGATTCCATGAAATGTTAAAAATACTGATGAAAGTTTAGTCTTGAAGTTTGTTAAATTGGACCAACAGAGGTTCTGGTTCCAAACTCTGGATCCATTTATTGAAGGAATGATTCAGATAATCAGCTCTCTGATCAATCAGCTGATCGTTTCCTGATACCAGAGATGTGTCATTTTGTAGTGATAAAGTCTTGAATGATGACGATCAGAAACCAGAAAGACAGATACTGTAGATAGACATTGATTGAGGGATTGATCGTAAAGTGAATTTACAAACTGTTTTTAGATGTTGAAAATATTTCTTCTTCTTCTTCAGCTACATATGAATTTGATGCCGTACGACTACATTCCTCCAGTGGACATAAAGACTGAACCCTACATACCTGAGACAGGTACGCAGACGATCTGTATGTATTATTAAACTCATCAGTCAGTAACACATGAAGCAGTATTTGAACTGTCCCCCTATTACAGATGGTCATAATTAGTGTGTCAGCCTCCGGGGGCGCCCCCATACCTGGAGCCTCGTATCATTTGTGGTGTAATGTCTCATTCATACCTGGAATTGAGGTCTTTTAGGACCAGAATCAAATAAATACTTTCTTGAATTGTCTCAAACACAGCAGTCCCCCTCAGTCCCCCGCAGTCCCCCAACCTGAGCTATTCCCTGTTATATGAAACCGAGACAGATTTATCCACCAACTCAACTGTGGCTGGGAAGCTGCACTTTCTAGATCTTACTAAAGGGGAAAACACAAGGTTTTACGAGGTGTAAAAAGTGCTGGTGAAATAGTGAAAGTCGATGGTGAAATCCCAAAAAACTTCATTGTGACCAGTGAATTTCAGATGGATACAGTCAGAGTTTCTGTGTGTATCATTAACTAGACTGTTGTTTATGTTGCAGCTCATGGTCCCTACATTCAGATCATCGAGGAGCCCAAACAGGTGAGAAATAACTCAAATTCAAACTTACAACTTTACATTGTTTCTACTCTACATAGTGACTTTAAGCAGTGCTCTGAGTTTAAGGACCAGCTTCATAAAGAGAGGTTATTCATAAAGGCGTCCCACAAGGATCAATATTAGGCCCATCTGGTTGTTTGGAGTTTGATTAACAGCTTTAACACCATTTTAAACAAACCGAACCAAACAAGTTTGTTTGTGTTGTTAGAGGTGGAAGTACCTGAACTTTGTCCCACATGGATCTATATTAGGCCAAGGGCGTTACCGTGCATTCTTATTGAAGAAATGTGAAATGTGTCCTTATTTGAGCACTATATCTTGTTATTTCCTTATTATTTTCAATGTATTTTGGTTTATTAAAGAGTGTGGTGACTCCCCCGACTCGGTTGCACCGAGTACCGTCGTTCAGTCTCGCCAACTTGGTGACTTTTCAGACTCTCTTAGCAGCTTTATTTCTATCTATCTTATCACTGCTTCTGGAAAAGTCCTCATTTCTGGAAACACGGTTAAAACGGGAAAGGAAAATGTTTAGATTCAAGTTAAATCAGCAAAGGAGGAGATTGTTCCAGAGCCTCGGGTGCCCGACTGCAAACCCTCAGCTGGGCCTCTGGAACAGATAATAGATCTCTGCCCCGAGGATCTCAAAGTACAAACGTCAGCGCGTACAGTACTTGAAGGTCAGAGTAGTAAACAAGTAAAATCAGTTGTAAAACATACTGGGAGCCAGCATGAAGAGGCTGAAACAGGAGCAAGGTTATTGTGTTACTGGGTTCTGGTTAAAATCTCGGCAGCTGTACAGTGTGGGCGGCGGTCAGTTGATTTTTGGTTGAGGCAGGTAAACAGGTGTACACAGGAGTATTAAAAAGAACCAACTGCTCTGCATTATGTAGGCGTCCTTTATCTTCCGCAGAATAAAGAACCAATATAAGAACAAAAGGCTTGTTTACCTAAACACACAGCAACCTTCACACGCACACTGTTGTTGGTGTTTTCCATCGTCAGGTTGATCCTCGTTACTGTAACAGCCACTTCCTTTAATCCAGGGTTTTCCCAACAGTCATAAAATAACATGGGACTGAGCAGATGAGCACAAACAGGGAGTTTCTGCAGCTAAAGGTCATGTGACTACAGAGAGTCCTCTGACTGTCAATATGCAAATCACTTCTGGTATGAAGAGAAAAGAAGAACCAGGTTTACGCAATCAGTGAATGTACAAACACAAAGTGTTCTTATTTCTGCTCCGAGGTGTGAACACACTGAACCAGTTCACAAAACCATCACTTCTAAAATAACAGTTCAACAAAGCTGATTCTTAGAATTAGAAACATTACTTTATTTATACAGCGCTTTTCAAAATAAAGTTACAAAGTGCTGACTGAACCTCAGTTCATCAACTCCTACGACAACGATGTGAGTTCTTTTCTCTTCCAGTTGATGATTTAACGACTTTTTCAGCTCATTGATTAGTTGACCGAGTGTTTGCTGTACGGGTTCCAGTGAGGGTCAAACTGACTGATGCTTCATTCAGAGAGCTGCTGAGAGACGTAATGTCTGTGGTTGTGAAAGAAATGTGTGTATTCAGGGCTGTCTGTAGCTTTTTGGAGGCCTTATGCAAAATGCTGTTTAGCGGGCCCTATTTTATGAAACTAATTATTATTTTTAATGAAACAATCTTTAAAACATTTGTTTTTTCAATGGAGTTTGGAATGTGGGACATCTTGAATAAACAAACATCCTTTAAAAAGCTTTAAAATCTGAGGCCAAACTTATTGTGCAGGAATAAGATCAAATATTAAATGTGAGCAGAAGCAACATTTTATCAGTTAATGATCAAATTCAGCTGCCTAAAGTTACTAATTCCAGTTTAATAATTCCACCTTAATATGAACATGAGAATTGTTCTCGTGCTACAGAACATGTTAATTATTATTATTAGTTATTATAAATGAACCATTGGACATTATAACTGAAATGTGCAGCAGCTTCAGAGGATGTTCATTCACAGCGTAATACCAGACTCCATTCAGACGCAGCTGTAAGAATTACCATCTGAAGGAAGAACATAAATTATATTTTACAAATTCAGAGTTTCTAATCTTTAATTAAATACGCAGCGCTGTCGAGAGTTTAAAGATTTCCACATTGGAAGTTTATTCTGAAATGATCTTTATCAGAAATCAGCCTTATTTTTCAGTTTTCTGTGTTTAGGATTGTTTGCATTGTTTTAAGCTACTATCTCAGCCAGGTGCAACATATCTAATTAAATAAAGGTTAAAAGATTAAATCAAATCCTTTGTAATTCAATAAGTCTGCATAACATTTACTTAACCTTTATTTAATCAGGTAAATGGAAAACTGATCCTAATACATAAAAGGCTAACATAAGCTAACGGAGGAAATAGAAGCTGTTATTTTCCATCCACAGACGAGAACAGTCATATAGAAAGATTTAAAAATACTAATTAAAGAGCAAAGTTAATATGTGACTAATATTGTGAATAGGACTCTTATTTCATTTTCTCTTCCAGTTTTTAAATCTTAAATCTTAAAATTAGAAACATTACTTTATTTATACAGTGCTTTTCAAAATAAAGTTACAAAGTGCTTTAAATGGTTGAACCAGGATTATAAACCAGACAATTCAAAATAAAACAGAAGAACAATAACAGAAAGAAATGTAGGCGTTTATTCTTTGTTACTGTAAGGAGACAGACAGACAGACAGTTGTATAATCACTATAAATACTTATAGAATACACAATATGCAGAAATACAAAAATAAAATCTAATAAAATAGAAATATGAAATATGACTTCAGGATGAAATACAATATACAGTGTCTGTATATAGAAGAGTTTACAGCTGTGAGGAAGAGACCGAAAGTAAGAAAATATGTAAATTATTATTAAATTATGATCAAATAGACCAGCTGCTCAATATGAAGCCGTTCTGGATTACAAAGGTCTTTTAAATATCAACCTGTTCAAACTACAACAGATACATATTCAGCGAGGTCGGTGACTGTGTGTTTGTGTCCTCAGAGGGGCTTTCGTTTCCGTTATGAGTGCGAAGGTCCGTCCCACGGCGGGCTCCCGGGGGCCTCCAGCGAGAAGAACCGGAGAACCTACCCGACAGTGAAGGTGAGTCGGTTCTGTTTGAGCTGCACTCAGGTACATCCAGCTGTTTTTGTTTGTTTTTAAAGTTCTGATATATTTTAATACGTTGTTTAAACCCTCGTAAGGAGCTATCGTAGCGCCAACACAAACTGAATCTGAACATAAACGTTTTTAATTCATATAATCATATTTCACAGGTTCACATTCAGTTTATCCCCCAGATGAGTTCATACTGAATTTAAACAGTCTGAACAGATTCAGTTTGCGGTGACTCTACAATAACTCAAAGCTTGATGGGAAATATTCAGTCTTTTATCTTTAATATTAAAATGATTGTTTGTATTCTGCAGTTTTTCTGATGTTGTGATTGTTTTGCTGCCCTCAAGTGGCCAAAAATCTGTTACTGCAGCTTTAAGGAACATTTATTGTTCAATTGTTTTAATATTATGAATCTGAATACCGACAGTTGAAATCAATAAATCTGATCGTCTTGTTTCCTCTCCGCTCAGATCAATAACTACGTTGGTCACGCCCGGGTGGAGGTCCAGCTGGTGACGCACTCTGACCCCCCTCGTGTTCACGCCCACAGTCTGGTGGGACGCCACTGCACCGAGAACGGCACCTGCACGCTGGACGTCGGACCCAACGACCTCACTGCCTCGTCAGTATCCAATCACAGCGCAGCACTTTGTTTATAAAACAAACAATAACAAATCACAACAAAAACAATATACAAATTATTTGGACCTCTCATTTATTTACAGTTATACAATATAAATACTTAAAATGAGACATTTTACAACCTGGTTTCTGTTATGGTTGTTGCTGTTTATTGTTGTTTATTGTTGTTGTTGTCACTCCCTGCAGTTTCAGTAACCTGGGGATCCTCCATGTGACCAAGAAAGGTGTGGTGGAGGTTTTGAGTCGGAGGCTGCGAGAAGAGAGGAAGAGACAGAAAGGAGCTCACTGTCACCTCACAGGTAAACTCACCTGTCGGACCACAGAGAAAACTCCGTACACATGATTGTGTTTATAGGTTCAATCACTGAGGCTGCGTCTGTTGGAGATCAGACCGTTTACAGCAGCATCGACTGCACTGAATGTACACCGTTCTTCATTGAACTGAATTGAGCTTATTAGTTTTATTAGTTTAGTTATTGCACACACACACTTACTCCCATCCCCCTGCAGTACTGCCAGCTACCACTAGGGGTCCTACTTACTGCAAAGTTCAGTTCAGTTCATATCACAACTTATTTGTTTTAACTCAAAGAAAACGTAGGTTGGATAATAAAACTGTCCCCAGTGTGAGTCAGTGAGTAATCCGTGACCAGATAGTCTCTGTCTCTGACGCTCTGCCGTCCGTCCTCCAGCAGACTCGGAGGAGACGTCCATCCTGAAGGAGGCCAAGGAGCTGGGGAAGGTGATGGACCTGAACATCGTCCGGTTAAAGTTCACCGCCTACCTCCAGGACAGCAACGGAGGATTCACCAGAGCGCTGAAACCCGTCGTCTCCAACCCCATCTACGACAGCAGTGAGTCCACGTAGAGTCTTCAGGTCCTTTTTAAAGCATTTCAATGTTTCCAACAGTGAATGAGATGATAGATGGAAACTATGGGATGTTTCTGAATATGAGATAATAAAACCAGTAAAAGTGAAATAAACGGATCCCGTCTGTGCTCAGAGTCTCCCAACGCCTCCAACCTGAAGATCTCTCGGATGGATAAGACGTGCGGCTCGGTGCTCGGAGGAGACGAGATCTTCCTGCTGTGCGACAAAGTGCAGAAAGGTGAGAAAACACCTGATCGGCTCGTATCAATACACTTATTGATACTGGAGAAATATCCCATCATGCCTCTGTGCTGCTCGTTACAGATGACATCGAGATCCGCTTTTATGAGGAAGACGAGGAGGGAGGCTGGGAGGCGTTCGGGGACTTCTCACCCACCGATGTTCACAAACAGGTGTGTGTGTGTGTGTGTGTGTGTGTGTGTGTGTGTGTGTGTGTGTGTGTCTGTGTGTCTGTCTGTCTGTGTGTCTGTGTGTGTGTGAGATATTGATCATTATTGATCATAATTATGACCTCTTTTGAATTTAAAACATTATGTTACATTTCCATTGACTGTAACAGGGTGACGATTCCTTTCAATAACATTAGCTAACATTAGCTAACATTAGCTAACATTAGCTAACATTAGCTTTCAGATGTAAGTAGTTCACTAATGATTGATGTAGATTAGCTAGCTCGTTACCTTGGTACCGGCCAGCTAACGGCAGATACAGTCAGTAGCGGTTAATTAGCGGTTAGCTACTTGACCGAGAGTTGAAGCCGAGCAGCCGGAGGACGTCGGAGGGAAAACCCGGATCCAGTTTCACCAGAATCCGTCTCACAGTTTCTGGTTTGAGATTTAAAGTGTCTCATTTGTTCCGACCTGAAACCAAACTGCAGCTTTAATAATAATCTGTGTGGACGTTTAGAAAGCTCCAGACAGACGCCATCGGAAAACAAGCTTCTCCTCCATTTTCTCGGTTACCACGGTGACGAGTCCCGCACCATCCTAACGTGCGATTGGTCGGCTGTAAAATGAGCGACGGCGGTGCTTTTTCCCTCGTGAATAAAAACCCCGACGTGGAGCCAGTGCGTGGATGAGTCACGCTCTCAGACCACAACAAACCGACAGACGCAGTCCGCTTTGATCTGAGCTCGGCGGGAAATCCCTGAACCGAAACATCCTCGCTGCTGTTGTCCCCGACAACGTCAGACACAGTGTCTAACAACTGATTTCTGAATAATGTGAACCCTAACCCATTAAAGTTATAAAAACATTATTTACTGTAAAACGAATAGAAGCAGGTCTCCTTTACTAGCCCGGTGTCTCCATTAGAGGCCGCCAGAGCGAGTTCTGAGCAGAGTTTGACGACTCATCGTAGTTTCGTAGAACATCTCACATCGACCCTCCAAACTGGGACTTTTCCGTGTTCAATGAGCTCCTTTTGGCAGAAGAATAATTCCCTGCATATTTCAATAGTGTTAATATTAATAATCTTTATTTAAACAGCAAAACAAAGTTACAAACTTCTTCACAACAACAGCAAGAAACAAATAAAAACAACCTGAAACAGAATAAAAGTTGAAAGCTGACCCTTTTATAAACTGAGGTTGAATCTCTCTCTCTCTCTCTCTCCTCAGTACGCCATCGTGTTCAAGACGCCGCCCTATCACAGCGCCGAGATCGAGCGGCCTGTCACCGTCTTCCTGCAGCTGAAGAGGAAAAAGGCCGGCGACAGCAGCGACCCCAAACAGTTCACCTACATCCCGCACGTTCAAGGTCAGCTGGGAAACGTCAGCGCACACACAAGCGGCGCCCGTACAAACGGCGCCCGTAAATCCCCGGGAAGGTGTTTGTTTTTGGGGTTTCCCTCTGTGGGAACAGTTTCTGTTAGCTTCCTCTCACCGTCTCCTCGCCTGCTCTGTTTCAGACAAAGAGGAGGTGCTGAGGAAGAAGCAGAAGCCGCTGCCTCACTACGAACCCTGGAGAGGAGGAGGAGGAGGAGGAGGAGGAAGAGGAGGAGGAGGAGCCGGGGGATTCGGAGGAGGAGGAGGAGGAGGTAGGGAGTCAACTTTCTGTTTTTATAACAAAGTGCAGAGTTCACACAGTAAAAACATAAAATATGATCAACGTTTTTGTACTCAGCATGAAATAAAGACTGTAATGGACACTTTTATATTCTGTATTATTCCATCACTGGGAGGATTATTATTATTATTATTATTATTATCATTATTATTATCATCATTATTATCATTATTATTATTATTATTATTATTATTATTGTTGTTATCATCATTATTATTATTATCATTATTATTATTGTTATTATTATTATTATTATCATTATTATCATTATTATCATTATTATTATTATCATTATTATTATTATCATTATTATTATTATCATTATTATCATTATTATTATCATTATTATTATTATCATTATTATTATGATTATTATTATCATCATTATTATTATCATCATTATTATTATCATTATCATCATTATTATCATTATTATCATTATTATTATTATCATTATTATCATTATTATTATCATTATTATTATTATCATTATTATTATTATTATTATCATCATTATTATTATTATTATCATCATTATTATTATCATCATTATTATTATCAACATTATTATTATCATTATCATCATTATCATTATTATTATTATTATTATTATTATTATCATTATCATTATCATTATCATTATTATTATTATCATTATCATTATCATTATTATTATTATTATTATTATGTTAATAATATTGATAATATCTGCAGGATTCCAGTTCAACCAGCAGATGAATGGAGGAGGAGGAGGAGGAACAGGAGGAGTCTTCTTCACATCCGGATTCACAGGCTTCGGCACAGGAGGCGGGGCTCAGATGTCTGGCTCCACCCCTCAGACGGGGGTTACCCAGCAACAGACAGACGCACAGACAGGAGGACAGACAGGAGGACAGACAGGCTCGCCACTACAACAGCAGCTGTTTCAGATCGGTGAGATATTTTGTTTGTTTGCAGATGATGTCACCCTGTTTGTGTATGAGGTCACAGTAACATGTGACCTCTGCGTCGTGTTTCAGCCGCCGCCCTCCACAGCCGAGCGTCTCAGAGCGCCAGACAGACCGCCGCCGCCCTGCTGCAGTACTGCAGCACCGGGGACGCCCGGGTCCTTCTGGCAATCCAGAGACACCTCTGTGGCGTCCAGGATGGCAACGGGGACACGTGAGTCTTTTCACATCATCATCTTCATCATCTTCATCATCTGCACATTTTACTTTGAGAGAGTTTATGTGGTTTCTGTTTTCCCACAGTCCTTTGCACCTGGCCATCATCCACCAGCAGACTGGAGTGATCCAGCAACTGATCCAAACTCTGCTCAGCAGCCAGCAGCCAAACATCGTCAACACAGCCAACCACCTCCGACAGGTAGCTAACGCTGAGCTAACGCTGAGCTAACTCTGAGCTAACACGTAAACTGACCTGTACTTGTATAGTTTCCTTTCTTCCGACCACTCAAAGCTTTTACACTACAGACACATTCACCCTTTCACACACATTCACACACTGATAAACGGCATCAGGAGCACTTTGGGGTTCAGTATCTTGCTCAAGGATACTTCAACATGTGGCACCAGGAGCCGGGGGTCGAACCCACAACCTTCCGATTAAGGAACGACCCGCTCTGCCTCTGAGCCACAGCCGCCCTGAGCTGCACTGAATTAATTTAAACATTACCTCTGACAGGTAACCTGTGATAGCTAACAGCCCACTAACTGCCCCACCTGTTGCCTCTGCAGACTCCTCTCCACCTGGCAGTGATCACCCGGCAGGTGAAGGTGGTGGAGGCGTTGCTGAGGGCGGGGGCCGACCCCAGCCTGCTCGACAAAGATGGCCGCGGTCCCATCCACCTGGCGGTACTGGCTGGAGACCACGCCTCACTCCGCCCCCTGCTGGCACACCTGGGAGAACGCCACGCCCACCTGGTCAACACCCCTGACTACCACGGTGAGCGAACCTGTTCACCCTCATACAGATATTAATAAACTGTCACCTGATCAGCTGTTAGCAAATGTCCGACAGGTGGCTACCTCTATGCTAACTTACCTGACCTCCCGGTGTGTCAGGTCTTCATCCTCTCCACCTGGCGGTGAGGAAGGACGGCGAGCGCTGCCTCCGTCTGCTCGTGGAGGGCGGAGCCAAAATCAACGCGCCTGAGCAGAAGAGTGGAAACACGGCCCTCCACCTGGCTGTCAGAGAAAACCTGTTCAAGGTGGCCTGCACTCTCATCACAGAGGTACGACGCACACGCAGCTCACCTGTGCACCTGCTCGCAGTGACATCACGGCGTCGTCACTCACTGTGTTTGTGTCGTTTACAGCTGAAGGCCGACGTCAACGCGTGCACATTCGGAGGAAACACTCCGCTCCACCTGGCGGCCAGTCTGGGCTCGCCGACGCTCTGCTCCATGCTCGTCGCTGCAGGTAAAACACACTGAAGGCAGAAAGTACGGAAGCAACGCAACGACAAAATACTTATTATAGTTTTAATTATTTAAATGTTTTTCAAACAAAACTTCCTTTATAGTTTTATTTCAGTTTAGTACACAATAACATTCCTTTTTGTTGAGTCTGTTTTATTTCAGTTCTTAATGCTGATGCTAGTGTTAGTTAGAGGTGACTATAATGACTTTAGTAAATGTAGGAAACGTATTTCAGTGTAAAATAAAGACAGTGATGAACTGACGGCTGTCCTCAGGTGCTGATAAAAACATGGAGAACGACGAGCCGCTCTTCTTCAGCTCTTCTTCAGACGAAGAGCCGGACGAAGACGAACCAATCAGAGAGGAGGCCAAAGAGCGAGAGGCCGCAGCTCAGCCAATCAACCCTCGCAAGAGACCCGCGGCAGGACACACCCCCCTGGACCTCGCCAAGTGTCAAAAGGTGACCCTTCAAAATAAAACGCACTGTAGAATCAACACAAACAAAGATGATCAAATTTAGTGTCGGACGTCCAACTTCTGTTGATATTGATCCTTCCTAAGCCCCGCCCCCTTTTGCTTCGTGGTCCAATAACAACAGACTTCAGTCAACATGTGATTAGATATGCTACGTGCTGTAGTCACATCTTAAGTTCTCTCATGTTAGCAAAACACTAGCTAGCTAACAATTGATGTAGTGTAGCTAGCTCGTTTTGCTAACACTAGTTTTCAGATTTAACATTAGCTGGCTAACGATTAATGTCATTAGCTAATGAGCTAACTTAAACAATCAAACGTCTGTGGCTGACTCCATGTTCACACGTAAAGCTTGAAGCCTAGATGACACTGTTTCCGTTTTCTGATTGGCCGAGCAGCAACTTTAACCTCCTCGTCTCCTCTCAGGTGAGGAACCTGTTAAACTCCCGACAGAGTCCGAAGTCGAGTCGTCACAGCAGTAAGAAGATGAAACCAAGCAGCACTGAAGGTTTGTGATCTATTAGCTGTCTTACTCTACCTGTCCCACCTGTCCCATCTGTCCCACCTGTCCCATCTGTCCCACCTGTCCCACCTGTCCTACCTGTCCACAGTCTGGAGGTCAGAAATAAAGTTCAAACACGCAGTGAAATAAAAACAAACCTGTGTTGATGTTGCAGAGACGGAGGCGTCGGGGCTGGACGAGGACACTCTGTCCCGGCTGGTGGAGGTGTTGAGTGTCGGAGACGTTCCCTGGAGGAAACTGGCGGAGAAGCTGGGGATGATGACGCTGACTCACCTGTACCTGGACAGTCCAACGCCCTGCCACCACCTGCTGCAGCACTACAAGGTAACGCCTCCACTGATCTGTCTCTCTTTGATGTCTCTCTAGTGTCTCTAATGTCTCTAGTGTCTCTCTGACGTCTCTGATGTCTCTCTCATGTCTCTCTGACGTCTCTCTCATGTCTCTCTGACGTCTCTCTAGTGTCTATCTTGTGTCTCTAATGTCTCTCTAGTGTCTCTCTAGTGTCTCTCTAATGTCTATCTAGTCTCTCTCTCTCTCTAGTGTCTATCTTGTCTCTCTAATGTCTCTCTAGTGTCTCTAATATCTCTCTGACGTCTCTAATGTCTCTCTGACGTCTCTAATGTCTCTCTGACGTCTCTCTAATGTCTGTTTGTCTCCAGCTGGGTGGAGGTCCAGTTGAAGGTCTGGTTGAAGCTCTTCAGTCTCTCGGTCTGACAGAAGGAGTCCGACTGCTGAGAAACACCGAACTACGAGACGACAAACACAGCACAGGTAAGAGACTATACATATATTATAATATACTGTCGACAATGAAACATTTGAACCTCGCTTTACTTTTAACAGTCTACGCTGAAACCCAGCAGATGAACTGTAATAAACCTGATTCATCATTCAGTCTGTCTACAGACTCAGTGAGCTCCTGTTTGTCTCCACAGGATTTATAAATAAAGTTCTGTTACTGTGGATTCGAGCTCACCTGACTCACGTTTTTCTGTCCAATCAGACGCCACGGTCGACAGCGGCTTCGGTAGCCAGCCAATGGAGGAGGAGGAGGCGCCTGTGGCCAATCAGTGACGAGCAGGAAGTGAAACCTTCATCCTGAACCAGGACTCTGCAGAACTGGACTCGGACTCACAGACCGACAGAGTTTCTGCTCGCACTCTCTCGGAGACGAGGAGCTGCGTTCCAGACGGAAGCCGGGATTGTAAATTCTCAACATGAAGTCACCGGAAATTTTACCAAAAAGAGTTTTAAAAGATGAACTGAAGTGTTTAAAACGAACGACGTTGCATCATAAAAGTGTTTTTTCTCTTTTTAAATCATAAAATTTGTCTTTTTTTAATTTATATTTTGTTTTTCTTGTAATTTAGTTTTTATGAGTTTATTTCTGTGTGACGTCTGATGGACGATCCTTGAATTTCACCTTAAAAGTCCTTAATTTTTCTTTTTTATGATCAATTATCTGTCGAACATTTTATTATTGATCCAAGAAAGTGAAATGAGGATAAAAGTTTGCTGTAAATCTGTTTACGAAGGTTTGTCGTGTCGTTGGGAGCCGATCTGCCTTTTTCATTTAGTAGGAAATGTTCTGCCTGGTCTGGAACGCAGCACGTTGAGTGTCGGAGCTCACCTGTTCACTCACCTGTTCACTCACCTGTTATCAGTTTAAAAACCTTTTTCTCTCCATTCAGTAAAATTTAAGCTCTTTATGGAAGCTGATGGCGACAAGAAAAAGATTTTAAATGTTACAAAATGACATTTTAAAAATAATATTGTCAGTAAAAGTTGTGATAAATTATTAAATAGTTTTGGCTGAAAAAGTCAAAATATTTCCAAATAACTTGTATGTCAAACGTTTCATATATTAAAACACTCAAAATTATTAAAAAGTGTTTTTAACTCAACATTATGTAAATGTTTACTCAAAGTCTAAATTATGTTTTTTTGAGCTGGTCAAATATTTTTATATACACTGTAAAACCTGACATCTTAATAAAAGAATAAATTAACACAAATTAATCCTCATTCATTTACTTTAATTAAACCAACTCAGAAATTAATTATTGAAGCAACTCAGTTGTTTTGTGTGAACTTAAATGTGTTCAGTATTTTAATTATTGGTAATTCCAGTTTGTTCCATTGACTCGACTTTATATTGTTATAAAACTAAACATTCAGGTTATTTATCATCAGAAGCCCAATTATGCATCCAAATAATTCTTATTGATCCCCCAAAGTGCAAAGATTTTATGTCATTACAGAAATAAACAGGTGTTAAATTGTCCATTTTAATAATCAGTTGATTATTGAGTGAACACATTTTAAATCAGTTTGGAGAAATTCTGCATATGAGAGTAACTTCAATTAACTGAATAAATACTTAAATATCTTTTAATGTTTAAACAGTTTGAGTTGAACTAACTCATCAGGTTTTACAGTGTATCTCTAAAGAAGTCATAATAACTGATTTAAATCACAATGACAAACATTTGAATACAAAAGTTTTACGTTTCTCTCCGGAGACGTTGAGTTTAGTTTGTGGGTTGTGCAACTTTACCAGAATGTTAATTGATGAGGATCAATCATCCTTCCTCCTCCGTTAGTTCCTGTTTCTCTCTTCTGTGGCGGCTGTGTGTGTTTTTACTAATACTGTGTATTCTTGTGGTTTCTCTTCTTAACCAAACAGCCTGGAAATAAAATATTTAATCAGCGTTTAACGAACTTTAGCGAATGTCGAGGTTTCTGAAACTCTGAATAAAAATGACTCTCAGAACTTCCAGTTTTCTTTTCAAAATGTTTTTATTTTTGCCTCTAAGCCTTCAAAACATGTTTCACTACGACCTCACAGGAAGTGGACAGTATGTACAGCTATCGATCGGCGGGCCGGCAGCCGACATTCGGGCCGCAGCGAAGCCGAAAGAAACAAAACAAAAAAAAACTTTCACAGAAACTAAATCCAGCCTTTGATGAACAGAATAAATAAACTGGTGGATTCAAACTCCTCAGAGGAGGTTTAACTGCTTTCACTCTAAAATATCTAAATCAAAGTGCCCTAAAACCGCAGCGAGCGCTAGCTAGGCGTTCAGCCCAACTACAATATGGCTTCTCAATGTTTATTTACAAGTTTCGGACACAGACGAAGAGCTGAAAGCGGCCATGACTTTTAGACAAATTCATCCTATGCTGCTTTACATTGCACAGTGCGACAAATACACCCGAAATACACAAGTGTTACTGGATATTTGAGGGAGTAAATAGGACCCTGCGGGGGTCGAACAGCACAGCGGGAGGATCTGAACCCTGCCGTCTGTTAGCGTCAACCAGCAGACGAAGAAAAGAGGCTGAAGGACGGATGTTGTCAGATCTTCACTGCTGTTAAATCAACCACAGAGCTCTTTATGCAACAAAGTCCGGTCCTGATTTCAAAGGTACTTGTGGAACCGCGGACTCTCACTCGCCGGAGACGCAAACACTGGAACGTCCTCCAGCAGCCCGACGTCGGGGAAGTGAAAGAGGTTCAGATTTGTGATGCAACCAGTCAGCTGGTTTCGATCGAGTCGTCTCAACTACCTTCCTGAACAAAATGGAGGACGAGCTGATCTACGAGATAACAGGACGCGAAGAAGAAAGACGATGAATGTGAACACGTTGTTGAGCGACTTCATGCAACTGTCCAACAGAGCTGAGAACAGAAAGCTTCATGCTCCTCAGAGACTTCTTTCTGAGGGATCTTGAAGCAGTGCAAGGCCTGATGGGATATGCAGTCTATACAGTGTGTTCTGGGTCTGAACTAAAGGACTTCATTGGGATCCAACGCAAATGTTCCAATATCATTTTTTCCTTTCTGATTACGATTCTGATACGCGAACTTTACGTACCGACGATACCGAGTACCGATCTGAAATAAGTCTGTTAAAATACAAATACATAATTATTAACTAGCATACAAGACTGAGCCTGTATGATTATATCGTTTGTATACGGCTTGGGTCGAGTAAAACCCTGTCAGAGAAGATTCAGAGGGAAAAACTAGTGGATGCTGTTGGGAAGTAACCGGGTCCCGATTTGGGGCTAATAAATGACTCAGACTTACAGATGCTGTATTTAGACTGTATCGGAGGAATTTCCGATACTGATATCTTATCAACTTTAGTCTGAAGTAGGGGACTGAATTGGGTTTGGGATCAAAGACCCAACACAAATCTGGGAGTGGACGGTCAAAAAAATACACTGCAGGTTCGGGGACTTAACTCATATCCGCCTGCAATAAGAAAATATAAAAAAAATATCATATTGCAAAAGTTTTTTGGTGACATTGAATAAACTTAAGTGTTTTCCCTCTTAAGGCCAAACACAACCACATCTGTATAACCCTACGCTTGGCTTTGCCTCGCTTACGGTATCGCAATCAATCGTAGACATATAAAAGATGGACGTCTCCGTCATATGAGGTCTCACCTACACGCCCTGCTGACTCAAGCAGCTTCCATCTTCCATCTGCTTATATGGAGGCTTTATGAGCTATACTGCAGTCAGCCACCAGGGGGAGACAGAGAGCGTTTGGCTTTAGTGTTGCAGAGTTCTCATATCGTCAGTCTTTCTATATGTCAATGATCGCTGTATAGTGTCTTGACTGTAACCTCGATATCCTGATACTTATCGTATCACCAGATTACTGCAGATCCACAGGCCGACCCACCAGAATGGATTGCGGTTATCACGCGGCGTGTCGAGAAACGGATTTCTGAATTTAATCTCAGGAAAACGACGTCTTCTGACCACGAAGTTAAAACTGTCAGTACCTTTGAAATCTGTGGTTTCTGAAGTCCTCTGTGGTGACATTTTAAGTGTCTTTACAGTCACAGCGGTCCACAAACGGTCCAAAGAGAAAATCTTCTCTCTGTTTATTCCTGTGAGAGCTGTACGGGACTAATTCCTGGAGGACAATCGCTGCAACAGGTTTTTAACAGCAGCTTCACTGTTTGTAATCCTTCACAAATCACACCACTGATCTCTGTGTGGACGCTCCCAGCTGAACAACTTCTCCCTGTTCTCATCAAAAATCAAACATCAAATCTGAAAAAAGTCCTTCTTTCCTCCCAAATCTTCAAGTTTTCCGTCAGTGTTTTGGGGGAATCTGGAAACACTGATTATTGTTTAAGAAGGTTCCAGCTTTTAGTGTTCCTGATCACAAACCTGTCAATTAAACTGAAGAGGAACTGATCATAGAACAGTTTTTGTTGTTGGAGTCACTTCTGGAAACAATCAAACCTCCTCAGAGTCCTGAAGAGGCAACAAACAGCTTCTCTCTGCTGCCACCTGGTGACCGTTTCCTGTCACTACATCGGTTCAGGAATCCGTTTCACACCAACACTGTTTTCTATGTTCTGGAGAGGAAGAGACCTCTGAAACTCAATGAGTGAATGTAATTATTCAAAGGTTGGTTCAGTTGACTTTTCTTCACTTTACAGGTTTAATTATATTTAATATTTACTTTTTAATATGGCTTTAAAAAAGTAAATCAGGATTGATTTTATGGCCACTGTACTGCCAAGTAGAGTTTTTATCATGACCATAAATCTATGGTACTACTAGTATTTCAATTTAAAATGGTTAATTTATACTCCACTACATTTATCTGACATTAATTAATTAATTATTAACTTTCCATTAACAGATTCTTGATACAACATATCAACTAATAAACTATGTATTATTATAGATGAATATATCCAGCAGTATGTAAAGTCATTAATTACACAGCTGTAACTTTAAACTAATTAATGCATCAATAATTATAATCCAATAATATAATATAATTCTGCATACTGAACACTTTTGGCACTTTAATACATTTTAATGCTGATACTTTTGTACTTTTACTTCCCTTGAATGCACTTGTATTTCTACTCTACTTCACATTCTGGTGACCACCGGTGGCAGCAGGAGGTAACTGCATGTGGAGGACTTCATTACCCAGAAACCCCTTGTGGTGACTGACAGTGAAAGTGATCAGGAGATTCATCAGTTTGTTTCACCGCACCAATAAACCAACAAACAGAAGATACAGAAACTAGAGAGGAAGAAGAAATTTACACTGATCAACATTAAGTGGACGGATTCAAACATGACTCAGTTTCCAGCATCAGTTTCAACAGAGAAATACTATGGAAGTTCATTAATGACAAAACTACTGAGCGGGCACAAAATTCACTTTTGTTTCACTTTTCAAACACAAGGATAATTATTTTCAAGTCACTGGTTTATTTTGGTGTATAATCAGATACACTTTGGAAATCTGCCATTTTAATGTATTTAATTATTTATTATTATTATCTCGATATACATAATTAGTCTTTTTGTTGATTTTATTCATCGATATATAAAAAAAAAATAGAATTCTTGTGGACTTTGAGACCAGTCTCCACCTGAGGTGCTGCTCTTTTTTTCTCTGCACAATAATTCATATAATAATATTATTAATAATATTAATAATAATGATAACAACAATAATTATTATTATTTAATTAATAATTATTATTACAGACAGTGAACTAACCACAGACACTCGCTCATTTGTCGAGTCGTGATATTAACCTTTCAAAAGGTCTGTGGGCTGATGGGAAATGCTGTTTGTTAAAAGCAACAGATTGTTAATAAACAACAACATTAAACAGCCACTGTTTTGAGTTATTGTTAAAAATGCCAGTGGGAGTTTGAAGGAAGTTCTGGTTTCACTTCAGCTCTCTTTAGGCAGTAAGAACCGGCACCAGTAACAGCTGGAAGATATCCAACCCTCTCCTCGGCTTTTAGATTCAATTCAATTAGTTTTGTTTTGTGCTCAGTCAGTAATTCTCCGTCACTAATGATCCTCCATACAGCCTGTTGGCTCCAGCAGAGCTCGGTGAGGAAAACAATATGAATAAAACAAACTGCAGTGACTCTTTGATCAGCCTCCATCCAGCATGTTCGGTTTGTATTCACACACACACACACACACACACACACACACACACACACACACACACACACACACACACACACACACACACACACACACACACACAGTGCGGAGGAGGTATTGTGTTCCCATTCGTCATCACAGCCTCTGTCTGTTGGTCTGTCTGTTGGTCTGTCTGTCTGTCTGTCTGTCTGTGTGTTTGTTTGTTTGTTTGTTTGTTTGGCCGGGGGAGTCCTGACTCCAGAGTCTCACCCCTCCACTCCCCCCTCCCCCATTTGCTCGGTTGCTGTAGCAACAATCCCACGCTCTCTGTCCGTCATATGTGGTCGGCATAGCAACCTGCTCCCCCGTTTGTTGCTAGGAGAAGCAGAGCGACGGCGGCGCAGGAGGTCAGTGTTTGTCACTCTGAGAGGAGAAAAATAAAAGTACCTACAAACTGTTTTCTGTCTGACAAAACCTGATCCAGATCCAGATCCAGAGCCAGACTGAATGATTACTAATATTTAAGAGTCACTTTAACAAAAACTGCTTTCAGAAAGTCCCTGAAATTAAGAATAGATTTGACAGGAAATAAAGCTTTTACTCTGAAACTCACCAGCTGTTTTTACTGGACGAGAAACAAATGCTGACAGCTGATTGGTGGTTTTCACTTTTCAAACCTTATTAGTGTTTCCTGAATGTTTCGTCTTGTGGAAAAAGCACCACTCGGTCGTTCGGTCGTCCTCCTTCCTAAAGAGCATTTCCTTTCCCACCGACCTTGAACGTCTTATCTCGGCTCTGGAGGAATATCCCCTCGGCCAATTACAATCTGACTGAGGTTTAACAGAAAAGGTTTAAAAGGAGGATGTCAGCCTGCTGCCCATGATGCTTCATGTCCGTTTCCAGCTACACGCTTTATAGAAAACCTGATTCCCGCCACCTTACGGCGCCTCTTCCTGTTTGCTGCTCTGTTTCTGCAGCTCCGGCCGCTGGTTGTTCCCGCCACCATTCTTCTTCTTGCTTCCCTCTCTGGCGCTGTCGCTGGTCTTGGAGGTCGAGGACGAAGAGGACGTGACCTTTAAGCTTTTTGACGTCTTGGTTCCGCGGGTCTTCTCCTTGCCAGCGGTGTCCTGAGGCAGCGTGGGGCTGGAGTGCGCCCTCTGCAGGCCGCCATCGTCAAACAGCCGCGACTCAAAGGCTGACAGGTCCTCGTCTCCGCTCGACAGCTTGGCCCGAAGCAGCATGGCGTATGTACCGTACCGGGTTTTCTGTAAAAGGAGGACGGAGGCGAGAGACGATGATTAATGATCCTAACCTAGCGCTGACAGAGTGGACAGTTTTAATGTAAAGTCTTTTTTATACAGACTTCTCAACCCTTTCCCCCCAATATTCGGTAAAATAATAAATTTGGGGGTTTCTTTGGTACATCCATCGGCCTGTCGTGAAAACCTGTTGCCCCCCGTTCCATCTGTTCTGGAGCTGAACCTGGTTCTCACTCTTATTTTATTACTCTATATGCAGACGACACTCTGCTGTACGTGTCTATTAGCTGTGATGATCTCAGCTCAACTAACCCAAGTGACTGCCTGGACCCTGTAAGAAGACACATCTGTAAGATCAGATTCATGCCTTCGTTTTGTAATTAATTCAACAAATTGGTTTATTTGTGAACGGGTTGATGAAAAAACTACAGATTTTCATGAAACCTGGTAGATGAGTGTACCATGGGCCAAAGAAGAACCCATTACATTTTGGACTGGAGCTGAATCACAGATACACTAACTATTATTTTTTAATGTCAATGGTGTCCCACGTCAAACAAACAGCCACCACAAGCATCACTGTAGAAACAAATGTTTGTTTCTGCTCGTACAGAAAGTAAGAAATGAGCAATCAGTGATGTAATTTTTGCAAAATCATTAAGAATTGCATATTTTCCGACCTGCACAAACTCTTTGTAACAAAAGTGAATGAGAGCGTAAATGCTTTTATTTTGAAATACGTTTTGTTTTTGCAAAGGGTTATATAAACAATATTTACCTACATAAGTAGAGGAATAGATTTTTCTATATTTTCCTGAACTCCCCATGTCGGTTTTTATTTGTTTATTAGATTTCTGACAGTAACAGGAAACTATTTCAGATTTTTTACGTTTTATCTGAATTACGACACAATAAAATATCTTTAAAGAACTGTTTACTGATGAAAAGAAAATGAACTTAAAAGCAACGACTCAATGTAAGAACTGCTGAGCGAGAAGAGAAAGTAAACAGCAGACTGGTCCTTTAACTGAGCTCCATGTTCCTGTTTGTGTCTCTGCAGCCTGTTTGACACCAGACAGACTGATTCAGTGACAGTTGGTGATGAAGACGAGCAGAACTGAGACAGAAGGAGCTGCAAAAAAAACTTCAGTCTGTCATTTATATTCAGACCTCAGAGCGGTTTCACTGCATGTTTATCGTCAGCTGCTCGTCGATCAGAGGAGGAATAAAACATGTGACTTCTGAAGCTTTTCGCACTGTTGCAGAGGAACAACTGTGGAATATAAAACCGAAACAAACTGTAAAACCAACAACTTTGATTTTTAAATTTAAAGTCCATCTTTAAGAAAAAGGAAAACGTGAATCGTCTTCAAAATGTGGTTGTTCAAGTCTTCAGCTTCATCTATACTAAACTTATTGGCTGATGATTAGATAAAATATGAGCCAAAAGCAGGAAAAAACAGTCGACCAAAAAAAAAAAAAAATTGCCGTCATCCAGGAAACGCAATGTACAAAAATGTTTCTTCTACTTCTAACTTAAATGTGAATTATTTGCAAGCAGCAATCACACAATTCATCAGAAGATGAGAAAAGAGGAGGAAAAACATTTGATGTTTAAGAGTCTGGTTAGGATGAGATCAACAACCTCTAATTATTAATATATTAATTAAAGGTTATGAGTAAGATGTTTGTGAAAGGCCTCACCTCGAACTCCAGGTATTCTTGTCGGAGTTTCTGCTCCTCCAGCTCGCGACCTTTGACCTTCCGGTCCGGCGTGGAGGCCGTGAGTTCGGCCAGCTCTGAGGAAACCGCCCTAAACCGGTTCTCATGAGATTTGACCTGCTCTTCCTGTCGGGGAAAACACGATAAGACTGACTGATAACCTGATGACTGCTCAGAAAGGTTTAAAACACGGACTGAAATCTCCTGGTATGATCTGGATGCATTGGTCCAGATCACTCAGTAGTGGGTCGGGGTCTGTACCTGGGAGAGTTTGGTGTTGGACCCCGGCAGCAGAGGACGGCTGAATCTCTTCTGGGAGCCGATGGCTGCCGGGAACGGTGGAGCCGAAAACATGGCCGCCACCACGTTGATCCGCGTGATCCACGACTGCATATGTTCTGCATTCCTGCAGGAAAAAGACGACGTTAAACACTGTTGTCATGGCGACGCAGCGACTGTCAATGCTCAAAAACTCCTGAACAGTGTCACTGCGAGGGCCCGTACATCGCTACTTTCTGCTTTAATTATTATTGTTATTATTATTATTGTTGTTGTTGTTGTTGTTGTTGTTGTTGTGATTATTGTTGTTGTGTAGATTCTTACGGAGCCTGGAACAGGAAGACTCTCCAGTCGGCCGTCCTCAGGTAGAACACGTTGGGTCTCTTGCTGTAATCGGCGGCTCTCATGGCCAGAGAGTGATGGATGGACACGGCGTTCTTCACGTCGTCCTCCGACAGCTCTCGCTCTGCACGGTACTCGTCCTGTCAGCCAATCACAGAGTAGCGTCATATCAGCATCAAAATAAGACGTTTTCATGACCACACCTTGTTTCACTGACACCATTATAAGAATCTCAAATTAACAAGTTAGTATTTACAAGCTCAAAATAAAACTTATTTTAACACCATTGGGAGCTTTTTTGTTTGTTTTTCATTATATTGAGATTTTTATTCCTTAATAACACGAGACACTTCAACCAGATATTATGATCTGAATTATACAGATTTTGGAATAATTTTCTCGTTAGCAAAATTATTCAGTTTTAACAACATATTTTATATTGAAGAAGAAGCATTCTTAATATTTTTAGTGTTTTCTGTTCTTGTTAAAACAAAACACTGCTGTTTTAGTTTAAAATAATGATTTTATTCAAGTAAATGTATTTCTATACTAATTAACTAGTTAATAAAAAAGGTTGTTTCAAACGGATAAGTCGGTATGGACATACATTTAAAGTTTTAATGTATAATAAAATAATATAATGTCATAAATTAAAAACATTAAACAATAAAGATGAAAATATGTAATTAAAACATATTGTTATGAATGTGAAAATAAAGTTGTCAGAATGAGAAAATGTTTTTATTTCAATTAGAAACCAGATTCGTTACTCAATAGGCTGCCGTACCTTTCCTGTCTATTGACATTAATGTTTCAATTAAATTATATTATTGAAATAGTGTAAATATTACTCAACAATTATACAGTTTTTAGCACACTTTCACTTCTCAGTATTATTTATTAATTACACTTGTTATATAATGCAGTATATATATTGTACATGTCTTATTTTGTATTTTCTATACATTGTTGTTGGTTATTGTAATATAATGCACATATTGTATCTGTTTTTTTAGCAACAACCGTAAAGCAACAGGTCCCCCCCCGATGATTTATCCTATTTATGAATCTGATATGAAATTATATATTGTCTCTATTTTATCTTTTTTTATATTTATTTATTTATTCATTATCTATATTTTCTATTATCTTTTCGTTTAATGCACCAATGTATTAAGACAAAGTCTTTGGCAATAAAATCTTGTATATTTGGGAATCAAAACCACTTAAGTATCTTGCATTCGGTCTCCTACAAAGAAAATCTAGGAATGATTGTATTGAATATAAAATATATAATGATGATTAAATATAAGTATAAAAAATAAAGTTTTTAGCAGAAAAATGGTCTTGGATTAAATTCGGATCAGTTCTGTGTGTGTTATCTCTCTCTCTGACCCAGATGTTTCGCCTCCTCTGATATCTATTCGATCTGGGACACACACAGTCAAAAATAGACACTGGCACACATGACAAACAGCAAGGGCTGCTGGGAAATGTAGTCCATATGTGTACCTTCTGCAGGTAGAGCACCAGACCCTTCAACATGGCGTAGAAAGACTTCCAACCCCTCTTCCCCCGTGGAGCTGAGAGAAACAAAGCATCATGGGATATTATACATCCAACCTTTACCATAAATGATTGTGAGTTTTAGGAGAATGGCTTCAAAACATGATTAATAAAAAAAAAGTCTAATAAACTATAATATATGACTGTATTCAGAGTAAGGTAAATGTGGGTGTCGTCTGCATATTAATGATAGTTATTGTTTTATATAATGTGGCCTAATGGAAACATGTACATTTTAACTATTAGAGGACCAAGGACTGAGCCTTGAGGAACTCCACACGTCATATTAGTTGACTCAGATTGGTCAGTCAAATGGTGTTTTTATGAAACACTACACCTCTTAAATCCCAAATAAATCCATTTGTATTTCTGTTACTGGAGTTTTATTACAGTTTGTTCATAAGGAAGTTACACTGCTGCTGCTTTTATCTCACGCAGCATCTCCTGCTTGCCTGAAAAATGCTTTAAATTAGGGATGCTTAATAATGATCGGGGCTGATAAATTATTGTCCGATAAAGGAAAATGTTCGATAATTAAATTACAGCTGATAAAAAGACACGTAAAACATGAAATAATTTTGTCATCTCATACCCAGCCAAAGGTCGTAGGTCAGAAAAAAAGAAAACCACAGTTTCAAAATTTAAACCAAAAAAATATATTTTGAACTCATCTTGATAATTGTAATTAATTAAATCAATACAGACGTAATGAAACAGGAGTGTTAAATTAAATAAAATAATAATTAATAAAAGATTCTGTGAACAAACAAACTAATAATCAGAAGAACGTCGTACTTCTCTTTCCGTCGGGGTCAGCGTGGACTTTACGGACCAGGAAGCCACTCTTGTAGAGCTCGCCATCGGCCTGCTGGGCGACGCCCACCAGCGGGTTCCCTCCACTCCCCAGTCGTTTCATGGTGTGGGAGGCGGAATCTGTTCGAACGTCCGCCAGCTCCGACATGGACTTCCTCAACTCCTCCTCATCGCTTCAGAAGACAGAGGGAAGAACGTCATCCTTCAGTTATAAAACTTTATATCAGTTTTTATTTTCTACAAAGAGATAGTTGTAGCTAAGCTAACTGAGGTTGTCCAGCTGGCTGTGTCTGGGCTGCGTGGTGTGAGTCTGGCGTTGGTCGCTTCGTGGTGTTGGCTGATGGCTGATTTGTAAACGGCGAGCTAGTTAGTAGCATGAAGCTAATGGTCCAAATAAAATATAGGAACATTGCAGATAGTAACGTTATTCTAAATATGGTTGTCAGTTATTTTGCAGCGTTCAGTGTTTGTCACTGTTGGTCGACGCCCAGGATGATGCAACTGGACGCTGGCTGCAGTTCACTGAACGGCCACTGGTTGCGCTGTTAGCTACAGTTTAATGACAGTTACATATAGGAGCTATATACAGTCCTTCCAGAAAAAGTTTTTTTTTTTGTGATTGTTGCGGGCAAAAATACTTGATTATGCGGCACGTTTTCTTAAAAAATGCGATGGAATATGCAAGATATATTTATGCAATTTTATGCGATGAAATTGCGGGAACTTGCAAAAACTGCGGCTTCATTGCGGGGTTTGCAGCTTTTCGATGATGTTCATGTCACGTAATTACGTCACTTCATAATGTTCCCATGGCAACAGGGGAAAATGGCTGCTCTTGTGTGAAGTAAACGCAACATTTTTCAACTTTCTGCTTAGATATATGTGACTTTTTTTGCAATGAAAATGCGGGGATTATGAAATCATGCAAGCCCCGCATAGTTTGCGCGGAAATCAGGAATTTATGCGGCGAAAGTGCGGCGTATTTGAAAAAAAGCGGCCCCGCATAAATATGCAGACTTTAGCTGATTATGCATCGAATTATGCGATCGCATAATCACGTTTTTCTGGAGGGACTGTATATAGAGGTAAAATGTCCACAGATAAAATATTTAGAAAGATTAAAAACACTAAAATCGATCTGCATCAATTCTCCAATAAAACATTATTAGTGTTAAAAGTTTGGGGAGGTTTATTAGAGAATAGAAACACAGATTACCACCTACACTAACATAACGAAACCTTCATTATCTCATCTCGTCTCATTTGTTCAAATGGTGCATCTGATGCTACCTGATCCTGTGAGCTCGTCTCGTATCATCGTTTACAAACAGCTGCAGAAGACGAGGAGTTAAATAAATAAATAAATAAACAGGAGGGAGGACAGATGCTAACTGCATACAACACGCCTGTATGTGTGTGTGTGTGTGTTTGTGTGTGTCCACAGTCAAGCATGGGCGTTGGGATGCTGACCTGTAATTACAGCGAGGAAAGAAAGCAGGGAGCGGTTACCATGGCAACAGAGGCTTAAATAAGAGAGTCGGGGCAGCAGGGACACACACATACACACACACACTCTCACACCCACACACACACACACACACACACACACACACTCACAGAAATGCACAGACGGAGCTTAAACACACACTTCAGATGTTTGTGTTGAACCAGTAGAAACCAGCTTCATACTGGAGAACTTACATGGTCCACTGAAGCTTCTCGTTCTTGATGGAGCTGTAGAGCGTCTGCAGAGACACAACACACAGTCAGACACATACATATATATATATATGTGAGTGTGAGTGTGTGTGATTGGGGGATCCCTGGCGTTTAGTTTGACACACAGTCGAGTTTCAACTTTAACCTGCAGAATGAAACATAAACGCAGATTAATGAGCCACTGACTGTTCATTTCACACGTTTCTCCTCCTGTCGTCCAACAACGGGCTCAGAAACGTACGACGGAGTATCGGAGCCTGAGGAGGCTGAGGAGGAAGGTTTTTGACTTTATTTTGCATTTTGAGAATAAAGTCAAACAAAGATCCTGCTATGTGTAAATACATCTAATGATTAAAACAAAACAGGAACAACTGGAAATAACTGAGTATCAAATATAACCAAACAGCTTTAAACCATTGGTTCAATTAAATAAGTAAAGGATAATGCTCGACACGCTGTCCATTATCGGGAATTAATTAATTCCCGATAATGGACACCTAGAAGGGCATTATCGTGCTTATACCATGGTCACCTGCCAAACAGAACTTCCTTTCAAAATCTTAAGTTTTTTACAAGCACCTGAAACCCTGAGGAATCATCACCATCCCATAATGTTCAAATGCAATGGAAACGTTGTTCACAGCTCCAGTAAATAGCACAAACTATAGATACGACTACGCAACTGGAGATATTTATAGTTCTCTCCACTCAGAGAGCTAACGTTACGCTACGAGACAGAGAGCTAACGTTATGCTACAATATGTAAAATTTTTCTTTAGATCAGTTTAAACGACTCCTCTGCAACCAGTTTTTGTCTTTTTCTTCTGGTGTTTTTTGTAGACTTTTTATCCAGTTTGGGCTTTTAAACTGATAATAATCATAGTTTTAGGTTCTGTGTAAACAGCTCGTGATAAACAGCATACTGTAACATATAAACCTTCATACAGACGGGAAATATAATGAATCATATCTTCTGTGAATAACTTCCAGAACACTTCCTGGTTTTACTGCCCACTGTTTATATCAAACGTTCTGCGGTGTCAGCGCCCCGTTGTGGTCCGAAACTAAAATAAAAATGAATGCGTGTGCAGAACGACCGTCTGACCTTCTTCTTGCGGCTCTGGCGGTGCTGCTGTGCGTCCTGGGTTTTCCCCAGCAGGTCGGGGAAGGCCAGCGGCTTCAGGGAGCGAGAGCGGGGGGTTCTGGGATACCTGAATGGGTCGGTGTCTCGCGAGTCCCGCCCGCTCCGGACCGAGCACAGCGACCGCGACCGCATGCGGCCTGACGAGTGGATGCTGTTGACGCCAATCATCGTGGAGAGTTCAGAGTTCAGAGACTTCAGTACGACTGAACTTCAGACAGTTTGAGATCCAGAGAAAGTCTTTTATTAATTATTAATTATTAATTAAGAAGGTACACAGTCTCCTCTATGAGGTGTTTACAGGAGCCGTTTGGTCCAGTTTTCTCTACAAAATATCAACACGAATGAGACTCCACCTTGACCACTTGATCCAGCTTTAAAGGCAAATTAAAAGCTCGTCAGATGAGAAGCTGCGGCTCTATTCATTATGCATAAAAACACAGCAGGGTCTCATCCGGCTCATAATCCCGCAGGCTGACAGCCGGCGGCTCGCTCAGGTGTTTGGAGGCTAAACGACAAAAACAAAAAGACGCAGCCAACAAACAGAGCTGCTGCGTTTGAGATCCTCCAGGAGAAACTTTATACGAGGAGTAAATCAGAGTCACAATAAAGGCTGCAGATGAAAAAAACAAAAGCGAAAGGATTTGCTGATATAAAACTTTAAATTTGAAATGTTTAGAAACGAATCGAGTTCTGGAGGAAACAGTTTATATTACAGTCAATAGTTTTGTTGTCAAAGTCGACTTCCTGTCCACGTCACATCGACAAACTCCAAACTGTCCCAGTGTTTAATCCCTCAGTGTTTCATCAGCTCACACTCCTGCAGAAAAACATCCACAGCCTCTTCTTCCTCTCTCGGTTTAGCAGTTTACAGACCGGCTGTTAAACGCAGCCTCTTGATGTTGCGGCGGCGGCGGCGTTGGAGGAGAATCCCAGGACTGCAAATAAAGCTGCGTGACGGAGGAAACACATCAGCAGCGCCGGCGGCTCTCACATCCAAAACACTCGCCAGAGAAAAAAAGCAAAAAGAAAAGAAAACGAGGAAGGTTGGGGCGATCGAGCACACCCACACATGCAGACAGAGAGAGAGAGAGAGAGAGAGAGAGAGAGAGAGAGAGAGAGAGAGAGAGAGAGAGAGAGAGAGAGAGAGAGAGCGAGCACCCCAAAACTGACGTCAGCTTCCTCCTGAGACGCCCGACTGAAGATGGAGGGAGGACAGAGGCACAGAGGATGGAAAGGAGGAGAGTTTCTCCTGTTGCACTCTGGGAACAAAAAAAAGAGAGAGAATCCCTCTTTCCTCCTCAGATCTCTTCGTCCTCCAACTTCACTCTTCTCCTCCTCCTCCTCCTCCTCGTGTTGTCGTCCTGCAGGAGAATCCCTCCTTCAGGTGAGCTCACTCCTCCTCTTTATCTTCTCCTCCTCTCTCTGCCGAACTGTTGAGGAGTGTCACCCTCCCTCCCTCCCTCCTCTCCCTCCCGTCTCTCTCTTTTTTCCCTCGCTCACTCAATGCGCATTTTCTCTCAGCAGCAGCAGCCAATGGGAGCGCAGGGACGGGAGCTTGGGCCCGCCCCCCTGCTCTCCTCCGAGCTGTCAATCACGGAGGATTCACAGAGCTGAATGTGAATGCAGAGACGACGACGAGCAGCAAAAAGACCCAAAATAGTAAAAACACAACAGTGACTCAGCGATTTCTG